ACGGGATTTGATGAATAGGGGAAATAACTACCAGTCAGTACCATTTGGTACTTACTTTATTGTAGCGCTCAACGTGGGAAACAGGATTCTAGTTCCAGTTTACTTATTACAGTGAAGCAAGTCTTGAAACTTCTTTGTGCTCCAGCTTCCTCATCAGTAGACTGGAAATAATGTCTAGATGTTAGAGATTTAATGCTATCAAAAAATACTTTTGTAAACTGGTGCATTTGCGCGCTTTTATCAGCAAATGTTCTTTGTAAATCTTAATGTCCAGTGTCCATTACTTGTTGCTCTCAGTTGCTTCTAGGAGCAACTCCTCCCCGTTTGTATTCTAATCTGATATAGAGGCTGGGAAACCATCTTATTGAAATTGTGTCTAAAAGTACTCAAAATAATGAAAGTTTCTCAATAGTAGTAAAAATGAATTTGATGTATGATTTTTGTGATACCACTTGTGACAGTGTAGAAATGTTTTTCCTTGAAATATGATCTCCAGTTAAGTCTTACATCATTCATTATTCGTTATTCATTCATCAGATGTTTACTAGGTTAGGCAAGGCAATCGTGGCCTTGTAAATGCATGCTAATTTAGCAGTTAAACAGAAGAGTTTCTTGAGGAATATTTAAGGGGGCTTAGGGTTTTTTGCTTTTTCCTTTTTTTAAGGTTTTTTTTCACACATAACCAAACTTCAAGAAGTACAGAAGGTGGATTAAGTTACAACAGGGTGAAGAATCTTAAAACCATTTATAACTTTTTCAGTCTCCACATGTCTACTATTTTCTATAGTTCTGTTTTTTGTTTGTTTTGGAACTGGGGATAGATTGAACTTGGGCACTCGACCACCTAGCTACATCCCCAGCACTGTTTTTAATTTTATTTAGAGATAGGGTCTCACTGAGTTGTTTAGCGCCTTGCTTTTGCTGAGGCTGGCATTGAAGTCCAGATCCTCCTGCCTCAGCCTCCAGAGCTGCTGGGATTACAGTCTTCTGACTATAAAATTAGGTTCTTGACGAGGCTGAATACATAAGTCTCATCTTCATTGTTTCCTGACCAGAAAGAGGGTTCTTCCTCTCTTGCTCCATGTTGTAAATCTTAATTAAATTATATAAAGACTTTTGGTTCTTATACTTTTAGCTGGATCAATCAATCACTGTATTATTTATTTAGTAGCTAGTGTTACATATGGAATTAAAATTTCTTAAGCAGGGAAGGAGGGAATGGGGGTAGTAAAGATGGTGGAATGAGATGGACATCATTACCCAAGTTCATGTATGATGACACAAGTGGTGTGACTTTACTTTGTGTACAAGCAGAGAAATAAAAATTTGTGCTCCATTTGTGTACTATAAATCAAAATGCATTCTGCTGACATGTCTAACTAATTAGAATGAATAAATTTTTTAAATTGCTTAAGCAAAAAATTATTATTGGCAAATTGTGGTAGAGTCATTTGTTTACAATTCTTCCATCTCCCTTCTTCCTCAGTACAGTTTCATTGTAGAAAGAGTGACTTTCCCACTTTTTGACTTTGTTCATAGCTAGTTGGGTAGACTTCTAAGAATTGCCTTTTTTTTTTTTCCTCCTGCTTGCCCCTTTGAATTTCTGACCTTTGCCATGAGAATGGCCTGTCTCAGGGATACCCAGCTTCTTCAGCAGTTATTTACTGGTTTATTATAAAGGATATTACAAAGGATACAGATTTAGAGTTGTTTAGGGTGAGGTATGTGGGAAGGTGTGCAGAACTTTCATGCCCTCTCTGAACCCACCACTTTCCAGGAGCCTTCACATATTCAGCTATCTGGAAGTTCCAGGGTTTACTTTGAAAAATTAAAAATAATATAAGGCCATTAATGATGATAAGATTAAGCTTTCACCTTTAGTGAAGTTTCTTAGTTTTGAGTATCTGTGGGTACCTTAAAATGCTAAAATATTTATTTTATAAGCCAATTAAAATTACCTATTTAGTTCTTTTGGTACCAAGGATTGAACCCAAGGTGTTCTATCACTGAGCTACATTGCCAGTCCTTTTTATTTTGAAACAGATTAATCTGAAATTCTCATTTTCCAAAGTAAAGGTAACAAAGTACTGATTGATCATGTACAATAAAGAAGGAAATTCCTCTACTTCATCTACTTTTAGTTTATCTTCAGTGGAATAGTTAAGAGTCTGAAGTCATTCTGCCTAGCAGGACTAGCCACATAATTTGTAGGGACCTGTGCAAAATTAAAATGCAGGGCACTTGTTAAAAAACATTCTTAAAAATTTCATAGTAGTAGCAGCAGAGTATTAAACCAAGTGCTGGGCCCCTGTGCACCATATAGATCCAGGGCCTGTGAAGCTGCCCTATTGCTTTGTTTTGAATTCTAAATTTTGTTGCTTATTGGCACTGGTATCTTGAGCAAATTACTGTGCCTGCTTCCTTGTCTGTAAAAGAGGGATAAAATCATTATGTATCATTGATTGTGTTTTAAAGAGTTAACAAGGGCTGGGGATGTGGCTCAAGCAGTTAGCACGCTTGCCTGGCATGAGCAGGGTGCTGGGTTCGATCCTCAGCACCACATAAAAATAAAGATGTTGTGTCCATCAAAAACTAAAAAATAAATATTTATTTTTTTAAAGAGAGAGAGAGAACTTTGAGTTAACAAATACCAAGTATGCAAGTGTCAGCTAGTACTGCTTTATCACTCATAGAACAGGACCATCTGGTTAGAGAAAAATCACAGAACTATAAATATTTACTGATTAAATTCATTAAAGGCTTCACAGGCTAATTCTTCTGTGCAATTTCCTCATGAAATTAGTAACCCTTTTTGTGTAGCTTCCAGTCAACATTTTATTATAAATTCTGGCAACTTTAAGGGAAAAGGGAATCTAGTTAAGAGTTTTGTTAATATTTATCTAAATTCCCTTTTGAGGTTTCTTTAAACGTCATGCTTTTATATGTGAAATAACATGATCAAATGTTTTAATAGGGTATTACCTTGAGGAACTAAAACAATTTACTTTTCCCAGAATATTAGTTGGACACCAGCAGATCTGCATACCTGAGAAAAACAATATTTTTTTGCCCATCTTTCACATGAGATTTTATACAGCAGCTTCAAAAATGGTCCAACTACCAGGGACAAATACTAAAATGTATGCCTATGAAAAACCTGTTTAGGATGGATGGTAAGCTTATTAATTTGATATGAGAGTTTTAATCATCACAGTTTACATTCTTTCTTCAATATTGTTCAACTTAGGTATAGTGTTACAGCACAACTTGATCTGAATTCTGAGGGGGAAAATGCTTAATATTCTATGTAATAAACTACATTTTAATTTTTTCCTATCCAAGAAGAGTAACTTTTGGCTTAATATAAACACAACAACCTGTCATTCTTTTTATAGTCCCTGTATCCAGCAGTGCCTAAATCATGAATTAAAGACAAAAAGAACTTGTAAAATGAATTTTAAATTTATTACTACTTAGAATGTATCTTGCTTTTCTGTGGTATGCCACATATTTTAAATGCTTGCTTGCATATAATTATTTTCAAATTTGTGTAATTTCATCTGTATTTACAAATGAGGAAACTCGATTCTAAGAGCTTAATTACCTTAACCAAGATCACATTTGAATTAACTAGTCCACTTGTTTCCATGTCCAGGTTTAAGCCCTGTCTTCCTAAATTTTGTGACCTCAGGCAAGATATTTAATATCACTGTACCTTTATTTCTTCATCTGTTGAAATGGAGATAACACCACCTAGACTGTAGGATTTTTGAAGCAAATGACTTAGTAATACGTCAAGTCCCTTGAAGAGTGCCTGGCATGAAGTAGGTGCTGAGGAAGTATTGAATTCTGTTATTTCACAACACTAACTTCCCAAAGCCTATACTAACCTGCAGCATTACCTGTATAGTTAACATAGAGTGGTCACACAGGCAGAAATTTAATAAGAAAAGTTAAGTCTATTTGCCATAAAGCATGTTGTGACTTATAAAATAGATATTTAAGTTATGAGAAAATTGCTCTTTCAATAAATGTTTCTTTATAGGAATAGAATTGAAAGGGTATAGGACTAGAAATGAAAGTTGGAGGATTTTATTTAGTCCCTGGATGAGCAGGAAGATCCTGTTTCTTTGAGCAGCTCTGTACTCTATTGAAGTGCTCCTCCCACCCCATTTTATACTTCATAAAAATTTTCATCTTTTCCTTCTGTTTTATCCATTATTTAGTCTTAGTTTTATTAGATCACTAGTGAGAATCTGCCCATTTCTGAATGTTCAAAAAAGCAAGGGAAATACCATAATTGGTCATTTTTCAATAGCATGAAAATACTGGCTATTCTTAAACTGCATAGATGCAGCTGAGTAACTTATGTTACAGATTTTTAGAAAACCTGTTATGAAAACAAAATTTAGCTTTAGTGTCTTATCTGTCATAGCTAAGACCAGTATTGCTATGAACACATAATAATTCAGTAATTAGCATTCATCATGATTAATATAAAAAAGTGTTATGCTCAATACGTCTTTACACTTAACAATCCCACTTTCTGATAGTAAGCATGACGTGTGTGTGTGTTTTTTATGGGGATTTAACGCAGGGGCACTATACCATTGAGCTCTATCTCAGTCTTTTTTTTTTTTTTTTTTGAAATAGGGTCTTGCTAAGTTGCCAGGCTGACTTTGAACTTTTGATCATTCTGTCTCAGCCACCAGAGTTCCTAGGAATACAGACACGCATCAACAAGCCCAACAAAGCATGATGTAAAAATACACACACACACACACACACACACACACACAGAGAGACCAAGAGATCGATCTGTAGTTGGGGCATTTGAAATTAGATTCTTGGTAGGCTAAAGCAAAATAGCTTGTATAACTGTTATAGAATGCTTCATTAATTTTATCATCAACCATAATAATTTTTTCTTTTAGTAATCAAAATGCCTTAACATTTAAATTTTTATTTTAGACCTTACTGGAAAGATGAAACCTGATGAAACGCCAATGTTTGACCCAAGTCTACTCAAAGAAGTGGACTGGAGTCAGAATACAGCAACATTTTCTCCAGCCATTTCTCCAACACATCCCGGAGAAGGTTTGGTTTTGAGGCCTCTTTGCACTGCTGACTTAAATAGAGGTATGGAATCACTCCATTAGGAAATCCTGGTTAGATTTATAGTTGGCCTTCTGTTTTCCCTATAAACATGACACTGATAAATTTTAAAAATATTTGTCTTTAGGATTATTTTTAGACTTCATTTTTTAGTGATTGGAAAATTCAATTTTGACCAATAAATGTTTATGATAAATATATTTTCACTCTATAATGAAATATACATGAAATATACTTTAATATACATTAAAGTTATTTGAACTATTTCACAATACTATTATAACACATTAGGTCTTTTTAAGAAGCCCGATGGGAAATTAAAGTAGAGATAATTTTCTTTGGTTAAGTTGAAGAGGTTGTCTGTTTCTATGTACTTATTTTTTTGGGTGTGGCAGGGATACTAGGGATTGAACCCAGGGGCACTTAGCCACTGAGTTACATCCCTAGCCTTTTTAAAATATTTTTTATTTTGAGACAATCTCTCTTTAAGTTCCTTAGGGCCTCACTAAGTTGCTGATGCTGGTTTTGAACTTATGACCCTCCTGCTTTGGCCTCCCAAGCCAAGCTGCTGGGATTACAGGCATGCGCCACTCTTCCTGGCTCTATATACTTCTTTTATTAACATCTAAATTCTTCAAACTAACTTAAACCTTGTTAATCAAAAGTCAGCATTTTACTTCTCAGTTTACTTCTGGGTAAGAAACCTGAAGAAACATAATTTTGGTCAAACTAATTATTGAGTCTAGAAAAGACTCTAAAAGTTCTAAGTGTACTTTTAATATTAGATTTAATAAAATTACGAATCTTTAAAATTGTAGTCAACAATGTTATATTATTTATATATTGATAAATGTTTTATATCTGTTCATAGTAAGAAACTTGGGAAAAGTTGGCATTCCTTGTATTGAATTTAACAAAGATTATGTTGAAAAAATATACGTAGTTTGTACTATTCCAAAAATTTTGTGCAGGCAAAATGTTGTTCAAATATTTTATTACCTTTATTGTATGATTCAAGAAATAATAGTTAAGTGATGATTATGGAAAATATGAAAAAATGATTGCCCATATTCACAACAACTTAACATATTACTTCTTTTCATATTTTGTCTTCCCTTTTTGCCTTTCCTCATGACTTGAAATCTGGTCTTCAAGGTTTTTTTAAGGTACTGGGTCAGCTAACAGAGACTGGAGTTGTCAACCCTGAACAGTTTATGAGTAAGTACTATAGCCTCTGTTTCCTGAATAAAATTAAAGGGAGTAAGATTTTCTTTTTGTTTAGAGCACTGTTCAGTGCCTGCTTGTTTTTGTTCAAACAGCTGGAAGTTATTCGAGTAATAGATTAGCTATTTTTTTTTTTAATGTTTAACTTGTTGTAGAATCCAAATATAGTAACTACCTTGTTTTGCAAAATACCTACATTTACAAAAATGCAGGGTGCAGATCAAAAGACTTTTAATTTATTGTAGTATTTCCTTCCATGATTAGATTATTCACAGAAATTTCATTACCAACCTTCCCCCACCCCCAAAATTCAAGAGCATATGTACTTTTGTTCTTATATTGAATTTCAAGGTTGGCAGGTATCAGTAAGTCTAGCCCACTACCGCGACCCCAGCTTTTTTTTTTTTTTTGGGTGCTGGGGATTGAGCCCAGGATCTTGTACATGCATCCCCATCCCAGCTTTTGAGAAAATGGATATCCAGAGAGATCCAGTGTCTTACTCAAGACCATAGATAGTTATTCTCATTTATGTATTTCTTCTTCCCACTACCTCTCTGTACAAATAAACAGTACAAGACCTATTAGGTTTGGTTTTTAACTTCTGAATTTCTCTTTGCCTGCATATCAGATTCATTGAGAAATTCTTTTTTCAGCAATATAAGCATTAATAATCACTTAAGGGGAATGGAGCTATGCTCCTCTGTAATTTTGAAATTACAGAATACACATTCTTCTTAAAATCTGCAAAGTTTGAATATCTGTTGAGTACATATTGAATAAAGTATTGAAGTTTTAATTAGTCATAAAAATAGCAACATATACAATTTGTATATATTTTAAGTACTATTAATCTAAAATAACTGTCAATCTTACTGTATTTTGCTAGCAGATTATTTTAAATGTATGCACCATAGTCCAATTAATATTGACTGTTGATATTTCAACTCTTTGGTTGTTTGGATAATATGCTTTTAGAAATGGAATATAAATTACTATGGTAAAATAGCTTTAAGTATTTAATAATAAATCATCCAATCTTAGTATTTTTATGGCACCTAATAAAATAACTCTACCATGTAATACTCTTTGTCTTCCAATTTCTACAGAATCTTTTGAGCATATGAAGAAATCTGGGGATTATTATGTTACAGTTGTGGAAGATGTGACTGTAGGACAGATTGTTGCTACAGCAACTCTGATAATAGAACATAAATTCATCCATTCCTGTGCTAAGGTATGTGCTCACATTAATGCTTGTGAGTAAAATGGGTGTTTTCTAGCAAAAATGACTTTGAATTTCTGCTAGACAAATATTTTCTTACTGCTTTTCATAGTTTTCTTAGAAATTCTTTAGCAATAAGCAATTTCTTGGTGTGTTTCTTAGAATTATAAATGAAAGAAAACATTAAGTGTATTAACTGCTTACTAAACTTGTTATATAAAGGTTTTAGATTTGACATAGTCATAGAAAAACCGGGTTTCATTAAATTCAGGAGTAATGTTTAGAATCCCTAATGTTGTTTTTTCCAAAAATAATATTTTGTACTGCATTAGCAGAATTTTCTTATTATTTTCCTGTTAGTAAAGATTGCGGAATACTATGTTTGTGTTCCAATTCTCATAAAATTCACATGATATAATAAATATATAAGAAACCAGTGAAAATGAAAATAAGAACACATGGGATATATCATGTGCTTTATGAATTTGGGGGTGGGGGGTTAAGCCACTAGAAACTAATAAAATTTTACTTGTCTATCTGAAACAAATTTTTATTGAGCTGAGTAGAATGATGGATGTACTGTGTTTATGGAAAGATTTTGTTTGTGGTGATACAGATTCTGAGATTTGCTTTAATACAATGGAGTGGGGGAGATTGGGGATATATCCAGAAAATGATTACACTAAAAGTTGATTCTTTTTATTTCCTCTATGGTAATAAGTTAAATAAATGCATTTTGGTTCTTATGAAGGTCAAGTTTACAAAACATTATCAATAAATTCTTACCAACTATCACTTGGTTTATCTGAAAACAAAACTGGATGAGTAGTCCTAAACACTGTAAACTACTTTTCAGAGAGGAAGAGTAGAAGATGTTGTTGTTAGTGATGAATGCAGAGGAAAGCAGCTTGGCAAATTGTAAGTAAACAAAGAAGGTAACTCTGGGTAAACTGGATACTCGTTTCATATCATTTCATTTCTTGCTAAAATGCCTGTTAATTTTTTTTTTTCCTTTTTGAAATTCTTTTTGGGCTACATTAATTCTGAATTAATTTTTATTCTTTAGCTTGGAATTGAATTTAATGACAAAAATATTAAATAGTTTCAGAGTTTGAAAACTGAAAGCATACTGTTACCAATAGTCACTTTTTTTTTTTTTTTGGTATTAGGGATTGAATCCAGGGTCACATGCACTGAACTATACACCAGACCTTTTCAAATTTTCTGTTGAGCCAGAATCTAAGATGAGGTTAGCCTCAAACTTGAGATCCTCCTGTGTCAGCCTCTCCACTAGCTGGGATTACAGGTGTACACCATTACACCTGGCTAGATCACATTACATTTTAAAAGAATGTGACTCTTTTAAGGATTTGTAAAGATGTATACCCTTTTGCTTTGTGTACATCTGTTATTAAACCTGTGTTGATTTAAAAATTATTAATGGGGCTAGGGATGAAGGTTAGTGTTAAGAGTACATTCATGTGGGCAATCCTTGGGTTCCATCTCGAGTACCACAAACAAACAAAATTAAAGAATGAAACTATTAAAGTACCGATTTTATGTTAGAAGGCTGTATACTACCAATTACTTTGAATAGATTTATAACAAAGACCTTTTATTAAATAATTTTGGCCATATTTTTACACAAGTTGATAGTCTTCAGTGTTAACATGAATAAGTACCTTTAAAGAGTTTAGGGTAATTTATCTTGTTTACTAATGAGCTGGAGGTTACTAAAGTATTTTTGAAACTAAGTAAAAATGCTTTGGTGATTTAAATGCTTATTGACTTATAATTTGCCTATCATAGCATATTTACACCTATTTCTAATAAAGATTGAAGTTTTATTTTTCTGTAACATCAATTCACATTGTTATTGAAATTCATTTTAATAAATGCTGTCTCCTCATTTTCCCTTTTTAAAATTTTAGGTTATTATCAACTCTTACTTTGCTAAGCAAGAAACTGAACTGTTATAAGATCACTCTTGAATGTCTACCAGAAAATGTTGGTTTCTACAAGAAGTTTGGATATACAGTATCTGAAGAAAACTACATGTGTCGGAGGTTTCTACAGTAAAAATCTTGAGAGGATCTAATGCTACAGCACTTCATTCTTCCTAGAATAAAAAAAACATTTTTGTTACTGCAACCCAGTGACCTCCATAATGCTGGACTGAAAAAACATTGGACTACTACAAGTTTAATGACATTTAGAAGATAAATACTTTGAGATGGTGGGACAGTCTGTGAGTTTAGATTACAAATGAATATTATCAAAGGGGATGATTTTTAACCAAAGGAATATATTTTTAACTTGAATCTTTTCTTGCATTGTATTTTTCTAAAGTTTGGCTTCATTTCTTGATAGTCAAGAGTATGGGTAGTAAGGAGTTATAGGTCTGCTGTCTTTGCTGCTCATTTTTAAAAAGTATACATTCACAAAATTAAATATCTTGTTTCAAAGAAACATCTAAATAAACCTAGAGGTGTATCATTTCTCACATATTATAGGAAGTTGGATAAATTACTTAGAACTAAGTTTGTCCATCTTAATGTTGGCAAACAACTTTGTCAACATTGTAAAGAAAGAAGATTTTAAGTACAGTAGTTTAAATGTTTCAGTAAAACTTCATATAGTTCCTATGGAGATCAAGTACCACCTGTCTTACTGTGAAACAATAAATTTGCCCAAGGGCAAATAAAACAGGCCATCCAAGGTACACTTTTGTGGAATTGTGTGTGGTACTAGTGATTGAACCCAAGGTAAAGTACCTTTTTAATAGTGAACTAGCAACTCTAGGCATACCCCAGTTTCTCTTTTCATGGGTATCTGAAACCTTTCTTTTGTCAAACATTTTTATGAAACATGGACAGATTATAAAATTTGAGTGATATTTAAAAATGTATGGTACTATAATTGCCACATCGTTAAAATACTGAGGGAAGCTTTTATATTTAATGTGATTATAATGGTACTATTATTCTGATCACTATCTTGTTTTGATTTTATTTATTTCAATTATTTTTTAAAGTTGAAGAATTAGATACTTATTAATGGTTCTAATCTTTTGCATTCCATGTTACATTAAACCTGTTCATATAAATTGTCTGTTAAAATCCTGCCTGTTGCTTTTCTTGAATGTATTATTGAACTATTAGGTTCATTCATCGTTCATGACATCCTAGTTTTGTGTATTCTTTGTAAGGACCACCTGTTTCTCACCTCCGATTCATATCGCATCAGTTGGGTTTCCCTCCAAACAGCTAAAGTAGGCTTTCAAAGACAACAGAAATCCTTCACCAATAAGGTACACTACTCATATGCTGACCCATTTATCCAGATGAACTCATCTGCCTATAGTGAAAGCAATAAAATTTGTTCTTTTATTTTTTTTTTCAGGACTTTTAAAACCTTAGTTGTAGCTTCATTAGGTAAATTCAGGTAATTAAAAACCCATATTAAGTAAGCCTAGTAAAAAGTTGAAATTTAATTCTTTATTAAACTTCTTACCACTGAACTATTTGAAGTAAAATTATCTATTAGGCTGGTATTTCAATAAATCCCATTAAATTGTGTTCTTCAGGTCTTCTCTTAAATCCCCCCTATAGGAAATAGAGTTATAGATAAGGCTTAGTATGTAAAAATTGTGTTACTGCAGAAAACAGTACTCTAGTTTTAGTTATCAAAATGTTTATTTCTAATTCATATTGTGAGTAAACGAGTATGAAAAAAATCTGCATTTAATATATGAACTATATTAGCTTTTTTGTTAGCACTTTTGTTTTTGAAAAGGTATAATGAATGGTAATTCTGATTTTTAGGTGACCCATATTTTTTGTTTATGTTTCATTAATCTGAAAATGTAGTGGGCTATCCCTAAAATCTGGATGCATTTAAGGATCACCAACTTGCTATAGTTTAGTCAGCAATATTTTGCTCTCAGTGTTATAGTTTAGGTGGGATCTTAGATTTGATTAAGCAAAGTGGATGAGGGAGAGAAGACGGTACTATAAAATCAAGTATTTTTTTTTTAATAGACTAAAAGTGGTGCTATAAATGATGTACCTATCCTTCCTTCAGATATGAATTCCCAACTTGCTCAACTAAGTGGAATTTTGGGGTTGCAGAGTATATGTTGACCAAAGTTTTGAAAGACATTCTTGTTTCTTAATATGCAACATTCATTCACCTTTTTTAATCTGTAGGAGTAAAACTGGGTTATTTTTACCCAGAGAATAAGTAAAGAAGTTCTCAGGCATCAGCAGTACAAATGAACTTTTCAGTATTTTTGAGGTATAATGGCACAACAGTTTTAATACAACCACCAATCTTCACAAAATAATTTTAATACTTTGTGCCTCGGGTAGCAGCATTTTGCACTATGACATTCCTATACATACATAAGCATTTTATCCAAGTACAAATGTTAAAAGCAGAGTAATGTAAGCAATTGCTTATACAAAGATAAATAGACACTGTAATGTTTTCTTCTTGAATCATTTTTGCTGCATAGTAAATTGCAATTACATGTCAGTATGTTACTGATCTATAGAATACACTTTGAATTGTGAGGTATGGCAACTCCCTCTGAGAGGGAGCTAACATGTAAACCTGAATATTTTGAGTGAGTTTTTTTTTTAAATAGCTGCCATGAATGGGAAAGACAAAAATCCAGCACTCAAATACCCTAGAAACTTATTTTCCTAATAAATAAATTAAAATATTTTAGTAATTCTTAGCTACTTCCTATTATTATCAATGAATGGACAAAGGTAAATACTGAAGTGAAGCTATGTAATGGAATTATGGATTAAACCAATTATTTAAAAAAGAAATCCGCCAGGTAACTGCTCATTTACTTTACATCAAGCTGAGATCCTGATAGATACCTCTCAACTTTATAATTCAAGACTGCAGTTAAATACTTCTAATTCACTTGAATTACCAGGGTAATAAGACAATTAGGAACCTTATATTTTCTTGAAAAGGACATGCTTAACGTTTTCTGACATTACTTCTAAACTCAAGATTCCTAAGCACAAAATCCCCCCGCAAAATGAGTATTCTGCTCTAAAAGTTAATTGGTTGAGAATTGGTAGCAAAAGCTATCACAGTTTAACATTTCCACCAGAGTAGATACAAATAAAAATAACTATTGTTTAAATACCTAATGGATAACAGTTTAAATACCTAATGGATAACAAATTAACATGAAGCAAATAACTGAAATTACAATACTGTCATTCCAGTTTGACTATTTTCAGTATTTTAAGTTTCACATTTTCAAAATGGATAGTAATGTAGTTTACCTACATTTTGATTCAATTTCATTATAAATATTGTGCCTGGATTATATATTTAAGGTTAAAATTGGGTGATGTCTCATACATTATTCAAATACTCTAAAGTAAATCATGATTAGTTAAGTTAATCATAATTATCTATCATAAAACATCACTGGAAATAAAAGCACAGAAATGAGACCAAATAGAATAAAGAACAAGTAGAGTTACAAAAAAGCTAGTTGAACACTAAGTGGATAAAGAAATCTAAGGGGTCAGGGGACTTGCAAAGTTCTTATAGGAAAGGGTAAACCTCATGTTTTGTCCCATTAACATTGTATGCAAGATGATAGTCCTGTTTTCTAGATTGAGACTGTCTTTAGTATATAGTGCTGGGCAGGCACTTTAGTGACAACATAGAAATGATAGTGGTTAGAAAAAGAAAAATTACCCAGCTACAAATTGGTATCACTAGCCAAATTTGTATTTCTTTGCCAGACTTCTATAGAGGATATGTATTTTTATAAAGTGAATTAAATAAAAACTTCAACTGCCTAATTTTTAAATATAAATTTGTTTTTATGAAGATTATAGGAGTCTCTGTTAGAGATTGCAAGAGATGTTTGCTGACCTGTTCAATAATGATCTACATACAGGAAAGCTGTGGTATCTGATTTTTTACCAGCTAGAACTTTTGAACATCCAATGCAATCTTGACTTCACTAGATCACTACACAAAATGTTGTAATCACACAACAGAATACTGGAACACAATGGAGTTAATAATACGCTATTTTCAGAGTGGTAAGAGGAGAGAAGATGGCCAATCAGAAGAATACCACATGTTAACAGGACTTAACAGTAATTTCAATAAGTTTTCACTGTCCACTATGGGGGATAAAAGTTTTTTTTTTTTTCTTCTTCTGTATTATTACATCATAGGAAGGAAAGTAAGTAAGTAACCTGGTGTAATAAGTTACCTTGAAAAGTACACCTCCTTGGTACTATGGGAATGCAGAGATTTCATTCCCATCAGTAAAGCACCTCAAGAGAGGACTGAGAAAAGTGAGATACAAAGTTTTGTTTGTGCTACACCTAAAGTCATCAACTATAAAAAGTTAAAAACTTCCCTCACATCACACTTAAGATAGCAAAAATGTTTTTCTTAGAACAACTATTGTACATATAAATAAAAGTATGAAGAACTAAAGATTCATAAAGTGACTGCTAATGCAAATTATGGGGGGAAATTTGGATCAACTCAAAGAACTGATTAATTCACTAATTTAAGAACCACTAAAACTACCCACAAATCATTTCCCCCAATAAATCCATCTTCAAGAAGACCTTCTGTCTGAGCTAGAATAATCTCACAGAATCATCAATACAACATAAAACAGTGAATGTTCCATATTTCAAAAAATTTAGTAACATTTTCAGTTTAAGCTAATTTTTAAATATTGAAAAAAAAATTACAGAAAAATGTTAAGAACTCTTCAGTGTTCTACATACTAACTTAGAGGTCATGAGAATTTAATTTTCTTCAAAAATAATTCAAGGCACTTTCTTTTTGGGGGCTTCATTTAGGAAAAAAAAATAGTGCTACATCGGTTTATCACATTCTATTTAGAACCATTTTGGACAAAGGTCAAAAGAGCTAGACAATTCTGAAAAGAACAAATACAACATTTGGCTTAAAAGAAAAAAGCAAAATAGAAAGTCACCTGAAAATTGAACACTCTCCTTGTTTTTGAGTATCTGGTAATATAAAGCAAAACATCTTTCTTTGATCATTAAAAACCTTTTCTTCCTATAGAATATACAAATTATGAAAGGAAGCATTTACTTAATTTACATTACAGTAAAGATAGTTGGTTAATGTCATGATTGAAAGAATACTAATAAAGAATCAAGAAATTTAAAAAAATAAAATGGTAAGTAACTGAATTATAATAAAAAATGTGGCAGATTCCTGTATTTTGTTAATGTTTCTGTAAGAGGCTCCATCATAAAATTGAACTGTAAAATTATTTTAAAAATGTAATATATAGAACACAAAATGAATTTTTAGCAAACCTTAGGAAATTCTTGTTATAAATTACCCAAAATTTATAAACAAATCCCCCCTAACTTGCATTTTGTTTAAAGTAATAACTTTATATCATACAAATAAATTTCAAGTATGAAAAGTGCATTATTGCAATAATACCTCTTTGCAAGTCCAAAGTTCTTGGTTTATAATAAACTGTAAAGTGTTTCAAAAAAAAGTAAAACCATCAGTGCCATCTATTGCAGAAGTCCAACATCTTCTTAAAATGTTGCTCAACAAGTTGCAGAGAAACATGTCTAGAAGCAACATATAATTGCAAAGAAACTACTTGTGTCCTTACCATTTTACATTATTATTATTATTTCTAGAATTGTCTCCTTTCCCAATAGAAATTCACACCCTTTGTGTTTGTCTTCAGTCAGCCATTCTGTGCAGTTGCTACTTGCATGTTTCCAAAATCATCTTCTTCCTCATGTGTTCTTTTCAAACTGCCTAAAGTTATTGAGTGAATGTAACATGAGAAAATAAATAAATTCATGTTAGAATGTTACAGCCAGTAAAAATCAGTTTTTCATCAAGTGATACCTTGTATACATTATGATAATTTCACAACTGAATTTATAGCAAACTTTAGTGATTATTATTTTGTAAATTACCCAAATAACTTTTTAAATTCGTGACTGGGTATATTTTTCCTGCTGAAACTTTTAAGTACGTTTTAGATATAGTATATAATAAGCTTTAATTTTTTAAACTTATTCAGAGGACAAACTCTAATATGAACCTAAT